GCTGGCCAAACCTGTGCTGCCCACCTCTCTGCTGTGCTCCTCTTCTACATGCCCATGATCCTTCTTGCCCTCATTGACCATCTTAGAGTGCCAATACCTCAGCCTGCCCATACTCTTCTCTCCTATGTCCACTTCCTGTTTCCTCCATTGATAAATCCTATTCTCTACAGTGTCAAGATGAAGGAGATTAGAGAGAGAATAGTCAAGAGACTACAGCCCAGGAAGGTGGGTTGTGCTGAATGAAGAGGATGCCCCTCCACAGTTGGTGGCTTAAAACTACCTAATACAAAAGTAGTTTTTCCATGATGAAGAACTCAGTTCAAAATGCATGAAATGGTCACTCAGGCACACATAAGCACATATACATGGATGTATCTGCCTGTCCTTGCAAGTGTGAATGTGTCTCTTAAGGTAAACTTACAAGCTCCAGAGAGTGACAGGGGTCTACCCACTGTTACACTACAGATCATGGCACAGAACATCCAGGATCTAGGTCATGTCACAACCACCCAAGTGTGTGTCTGTTGTTGTTTTGTTTTTGTTAATTTCCCCACCACATCTGTACCCTAATGCCTGAGGAAACTGGAGAAGTTAAACAGTTACAGCAGAGAAATGAGAACACAGAAACCTTCCATGGCACTCTACGTGTGTGTGTGTGTGTGTGTGTGTGTGTGTGTGTGTGTGTGTTTGTACATTGCTTTACGGATCTTTTTATGGATTTTAATATATGTGTCATGGATATAATCACATATCACTGATCTATTAGTGTAGGCTCATAGTCTGACTTGTTAATATGTGGTATAAAGTGATCCCCCTCTCATGAAACAAACAAGAGCTTTGGAATCCTAACAAGAATTACATTATTTTTATAGATTAAGTGTAAGCTAACATTTATGATGATAAACTTTCACACCCAAAAATATATGATAGATGTTTCACTTATTAATACCTTTTTAAATTTTTCAATAAAATTATTTGTTTAATTAAATTTATTTCTATAGTTTTTAATTATATGATTTTGTTGCTCTTATAAATAAAATAATTCTCTATTCTATTTCCACATCCATAATGCTAGATTGGGGAAAATCATTTTTTACCTTGCATTAATACATATTTTACCAAATTATCATATGAATTATATAGCTTTTTATTTTTGGATTTTCCTTATATTTATCATATATAAGTAAAAATAGGTGACTGGTAGGTTTTTCCTACTATTCATACAACTTATTTCATTTTACTTTATTTAACTCATTGGAATCTCCAGCCTGTTATGAAAGAATAACAGTGAAAGTGAACGCTCAAATCTTGTTACTGATTTTAACAGAAGTGGCATTAGTGGTTCACTTATTAGAACAATGGTTGGCTGCAAGATCTGTGGGTAATTTGTAAATATTCAAATAATTTATGTGTATTCCAATTTTATTAATTTTTAATAAGCTTACTCAATAAACCCTATTAAGTGCTTTTTCAGCATCCACTAATATAACTATAATTGTCTGCTTTAATGTCTTGTTCAATTTTCTGATATAGAAACATCTTTTTTCTATTGTGATTATAGAAAAATGCATTCTAAATGAAAGTAGCAAATTGGATCCACTTAGTGCCAAAACAAGAACCCATACTAATCTATCAGGATACATTACAGCAAGGCAGAACAGTTATATCCTCATCTGATACCAAGTTTCTCTGCAAGGTATATTATATATCCTCTTACTAAATTAGTATTTCCATTTCACAAATGAGAATACTGTGACTGAGGATTTCAGAATGTTTAAAGTATATAAAATTAGTTGCAAAGGCAGCATTTATTTTCAGATTTGCTTAATAAAAAGCCCCTGCTATAAAATACTTTTTTTTTTAATTGTTGAACAGAGAAACAGCTTGGTCTTGAGGCAACAGTAATGGGGTCTCTGAGAAACCCTGCTTTTCCCAAAGTTTACCATTTCCTCCTCCCTGCTGCACCCACCCCCAGAGTCTCACTTATTTACTGACAGCAGAATGATGTAAACAGTTTGAAGTCCCACAAGCCTGGTTTTGAATTCTCACTTCACTACTTCCTGTGTCATTTGGCAACAGCTGTTCTTATGTTTACAAAATAGGTATAATAAGGATTGCATGAAATCAGGTCCCTTTATCATAGTGTCTGAACACAAGAGATATTCAATAAATCATAGTTATTTGGAATTAATGAAGTCAAAAATAACTGTAGTTACACCTTGTATGTATATTCAATGTGAATAAAGAACTTTACAGGTGGAAGATTCTTTCGGCTGATACAACCTCATTTTAGAGAAGGAAAACTGCAACTTGGGATTTGCTGAAAGCACTTTTGCATGGACCTGTGTAAGTCAGGGAAGATGAACTAAACCTCTGTGTTTAGTAGTTCAGGGAACACAGAACTCTTTCACGGCAGGGGCTCCACTGCTCTCTCCTGGTCAGGGACCACAACCACTCAATTCTGTCAGTTTTCAAGTGCCAAGTGCTTGGTATTACCACTCTTGGCCAGTCAGGGGGCACTGTTGTCTCTGCAAATCACCTGACAGATTTGAAGGAAAATCTTTCTCCTCTAACAGCACACAGGGGCATAAGAGGTATTAGCAGGAATGTTTACAATTGTAAATAAAATGTAACAGTGATACAGGGGAGCTGATTGAAACTGAAAACCAGGAAAAGCTTTGCAAAATCCAGATTTCTGGGTTGGTCCCACTGCTAAAAAAGCTTAAACAAAGACTCCAGACCTGTAACCTGAGAGAGAGAGAGAGAGAGGTGGGGATGAGGATGAGAAAGCAATTAATAATTCATTAATGGGGGTGTGCCTGGGTAGCTCAGTCAGTTGAGCATCTGTCTCTTGATTTTAGCTCAGGTCATGATCTCAGGGTTCATGGGTTCAAGTCCTGTGCTGACAGTGTTGATCATGCTTTGAGTTCTCTGTGTCCCGTTCTCTCTGCCCCTCCCCTTCTCACACTCTCTTATGTGTGTTCTCTCTCTCTCTTTCCCTCTCTCTCAAAAATAAATAAACATAAAAAAAAGAATTTGTAACAGGGATCTTAAGTTCAAATACCTAGAAGAACAAGGTCATAATAGCAGTAAGTGGAGCAAACACATACTCAGACTGTGAGTAGTGGGGACTGTATAAGGGCCAACACTTCTCAGTGTGTTCCTACTGAGTTTTTCCATGTGGGAATGTAGGCCTAGTATTGCCATACCTTCCTACTTTTAAGATAACTCATAAATCTCTATTTTTTATATGAACTCATCTAAACACTATCTTGTCTAAACAAATCCGTCTGAAGACCATATTTAGATTTTATGGCTCTTAAAAAGATTAACATATTAATTCAGACAATGAAGAAAGAAGGAATTATCTTCTTTAATTTCAAAGTAAATATGAAATGTAATACACAACACATAGAAAGTAATTTTCTCAAGGTCACATAGCCAGGAAATGGCAGAGCTGAAACCAGAGGACTGAGTCTTGACCTCAGTCTTGAGCTTTTTTAGTCATCTTGCCACCTCCCTTGCAGGACTAAGTTATCACACTAAATGGTTTAGAGGACATGTTATCCCTGATAGGGTCTTTTTATCCTTTCTTCTATGGGTTGGCTTCTAAATCCCCTGTCTGGAGTTATGTTATTTCTCATTGATTAATAGTAACGTTGGACTCTGATCCCCTAAATCAAGGTGGCATCGTCCTTGTAGCTCCTAAAGCTTCTTTGTTGACACTTTCTTCATAGGATGTCTGTAAAGGGCTCTAATCTGGCTCCATTTACAGGGCCAGGAGATGATAGGTGGATACAGGGAGGCTTGGATAAGAAACTTGTTTCAAGGTCTGTTTGGTCACAGTGGTGCAGATTCTGTGTTGTGGCTTGATAGCTATTATTTTACCTAAAGGCATTATGGGCTGCCCTAAATTCTGTCTCTCACAAAGGACCCTTATATCTCTTGACAATGTTAACTCCCTGGTAAGAGGTGCAGAAAGTGCAGAGGTGAGTTGAGTCTACGTTACGACTGCCCTGATTCACCCCTGAATTCCCACACCAGCAAAACTTTGAACTATTCTTTCAGTTCAAATTGATATACATCTACCAAGTGCATACTATAAACAAGGAATTTTATTGTGAGGAGACTTCTAAAGTTGAATAACTCACAACTCTTTCGTTGTAGAAATTCACAATGTAGTCCATAAGAAAGACATATGTATGATGTTGGAGATGTCTCTGGGTCTCCGTCCACTGTGCTCCAAGGACTCAGCCCCTTGCTTTTACTACAAATGTTGCCAAATGCCCATGACCACCTATAATTTCCTCCTACAATTTCCCCAATTTGGCTTCAGCAGAAGACATACTCTCTAGGTTCCCTTTTCACATTGCCCCAAAAAGGTTTTTTTTTTTTTTCAACTCAAACATTAATGTTCATACAAATCATCTAAGATCTTGCTAAAATGCAGATTCTGACTTAATAGGTTTGCAGCTAGTTACTTTCCAGGTGAAACTGCTGCCACTGAACATTCGACCACACTTTAAGTAGCAAGGAAAAAAACATACTTAAGCCAACTTAGACACATTATAAAGGGCTTAATGTAAATCACAAAAAAGGAATTAAATAAGGGAAGCAAATATGAAGATGCTAAGTTGCTCCAAAACCTTCCAGAGTTCCACCCACCACAGTTTAGGGCCACTGATCATACTTCCTCCTTAGAAGCTCCTCTGGATTCTTGCTCATAATTCATACCTGAGGATAGATGCCATCAATCCCCCAAGCAATAACAAAAGCATTCCTACATACTCTATGAAATGCAGGCCTCCTCTTCCCTAAAAGCAGATTTGCTGTGGTATATTAGGTCCCCTTTAGGGATTGATTAATTGATTGATTAACTAATTAATTAATATCATTTAAGGGCTATGAAGTAAAAGGAAATATCTCCTCTTTGGAAGAAATATTGCCCTACTCCTAAGACAATTTATTGTAGAGAAAATGGAACTTCTACCTCTGCCCCATCATTTAGACTTTAGACTCAGTTTTTCCAGGACTTTTACTCTAATCTGCCAACTTTTTACACAATACACAATGGGATTCATCAAAGGTGGTACCAACAAGAATGCATCAGCTATCAGAATCATAGCCAAAGGGGATTTATGCTTGGCAAAGTGATGTATGGTAGCCAAGGTGATGATGGGCACAAAGAAGATGAGCACAGCACAGATGTGGGACACGCAGGTATTAAGAGCTTTAAGTTGCTCCCCATGGGATGCAATACCCAATACAGTCTTCAGGTTGAACACATAGGAAACAGCAATGAAAACACTGTCTGACATCATGCAGAGTGCAACAAACAGACCATAGTAAAAGTTAACCCTATTGTCAGAGCAGGCCAGTTTCATGACATCCTGGTGGAGACAGTAGGAGTGTGAGAGCAGGTGTTTATTACAGTATCTGAGTCTATTTAAAGTGAAAGGAAGAGGAAGAACTAGTAGAATGCTTTTAATATCAAATATCAGTCCACGATGCAAAATTCTGGAGCTGGTAAGAATGGAATTATACCTCAGAGGGTTGCAAATGGCTGGAAAGCAATCAAAGGACATGATCAAGAGCATTGAGGATTCCATTCCTGTGAATCCATGGATGAAAAATTCCTGGGCAATACATGCATCAGCAGAAATCTCCATGGCATTGAACAAGAAGATCCTCAGCATAGAGGGAAGAGAAGAGAAAACAAGCCCAGGTCAGATAAGGCCAGCATGGAGAGGAAATAGTACATAGGCTCATGCAGGGAAGACTCTGTCCTGATGACAAACAGGGGGGTGCAGTTGCCCAGGATGGCCAGGAGGTACATAAAGCAGATGGGGATGGAGATCCAAATGTGTACACTCTCAAACCCTGGGATCCCAACCAACAAGAAGGTGGAGATTTCAACTTCTGAGGTATTAAGAGAAAACATCACAAATAGGTCTTTCATTTATATGCTCCTGGTAGATAAATAACATCAACAACAAATTCTCTTAGTTGTGTGTACTGAACACAGTTAAGTTCAGTTGTCAGTTAAATTAAGTATAGCTCATCCTTAGGTATCAAGCAATAATGTACCTTTTTCTATATAAAGAAAAATACAGAGTCGATTTAAATAGGTTCTTCATAATATTCATTTGAGACCTTCAAGTCTACCTTTGTTCCTTATAGCTTGGAAGCAACAAGGTGTTTGATAACCTTTTAAAAAAAACACCACTTTTTAAGATTTATGCATCAAGTAAACTAAGTTGGAATATATTGCAATCTGGAAAATCTATAACATCTTGGATGTGGTCAATGCTCATTTATTCATACAAATCACAGATGCTATAGTAGCAGGAGTTAAAGGAGGCCTAACATATTATTGTTCATGATACATGTGTGTGAAAATATAAAATTGACCTACCACAGAGTTTGGGAAACTAATTTGTAGAGCCAAATTCAACCTGTGAGAATTTAAAAAATATTTTAAAGTGTTGTATCAAAAGAAAAAAAAGAAGAAAAAACATATAGGACAGAGACAAATACGTGGCCTGAAAAGTCTAAAATATTTACTTCCTGGCCATTTACAGAAAAAGTTTGTTGACCCCTGTACTAGAAAATTATGCATACAAGCACACATGTGTGTGCACATGTGTGTACACACACGAAAAATCACAGTAGAATGAGTATGGTGGAAATGGAGTATGTGTCAAAGGGAACTTCAAATTTAAGAGTAATGTTTTATTTTTCATTTTTAAGAAGCCAATAACACATGAAGCAAATATACAAAATGTTTTAAATTTTCCCATCAGAACTTTGGAAATGGAGGGTGATGCTCAGTACTTTCTTATATTCTTTTAATTCTACCCCCTCCTAATTGTCTTATACAACACCACTTCCAAAACCATAAATCACCAAGAGATCTCCAGGTTGAAACACTATATGCCAGCACATTACTGTAGCCTGAGGCAGTCTGAGTGAGCACAGCACCTCAGGGAGCAGAGGAAGGACTCCTCGGACACCAGCTATCATCCCCTAAGTAGTGAGCTTCCAGCTAGAAGACCACAAGAAGCGGTGAGAAGGGAATGGCCAGGCCACAAGTATTTGTCCTTTCATGGAGGGTTTATGAGCATTTCCTGGCAAGGGTAGAGAAAGAATGAATTGTATCCAGATGGAAGAAATTACAAGGCAAGGGGTGGAAATAGCACTGAAGAAGGGGAGGACACTTACTAGTCTTTTTCTCTGCTACTAAAATTTTAAAGGACCTTTGCCTCCACTTGACTCAAGATAGGGACTGTAAGGTTTGTGGTGTGTAGGGTGTGTCATATGGAGAAGTGATGAGAACATATTTCAGTACTGAGTGTCCATTTCACCTCAGCCTTTCAAATGTGGTGGGTTTCCTTGTAGTGAATAACATATGACAGCTGTCATCTGTAGGTGTTTGAAACACTCACATTGGTTCCATTCAATCGCTAGTGGTCCCGTTCAGAATGGCCACGGTTCTTGTCCTTCTTTCCCTGTTCTTGGATTTCTTTTGGCTTACCATTTCTCTTGGCTATTCAATGTCTACCTTTTAGATTGCTGACCAATTCAGGTTCTTACCTCTGGTATTTGGACTTGATCCTGCTCATGTTCTTGGTGTCAGCATCACTCACACCTTGGGTAACCCTCCTTTTAGCAGCTCTAAACCAGAAAAACCCCAATAGTGCATGTGACACTCGGCTCTTGTCAGGGGAATGGGATTCACAGGGAGAAAGGTGATAATACACTATCCATTCTTGTTCAAAAGGTGACCTTAAAATGTTCATTTCTAAGATTCCATGTCTGAGTTATTTTTTGAAAATCTGCCAGCCTAAATCAAGTAACAAAACAAATTAGTTACTACTGGCATCATTGTCTTTTCAACTGTGTCCATCATGCCAATATAAAGATGTACCCCATCCCACATATGTTCTCTAATCTTTTCAGCTTTCAATGCTGTCCCAAATGCAGCTTGATCTCTTGGGCTGAAGAAGCCATGAAGCATTTTACCTACAACCATTTCAAAGCCATAAGGTTGAACTCTATAAATTGCAGAGTTTTCATTGGGAAACATAAAATAAACTGAGGGAAATTCAATTTGAGTCTCTAGGACACCTACCAGGCTCCTGGGTTCCTTACCCCAGAGCAAGGGTGAAAAGTTTTCAAATTCTTCCAGGTTCTATAACTTCTCTGCTCCAGCACCATGTTGGGAATCCATATCCTTATATATACCCTCGTACTCTTCCCTAGCATAGGCACATCCTCCTGAGAATTAACAGACACCTACTCCCCTAGGAACAATGACTCTCTAGCTTCACTACATCTATCTATAACCTGGTCTCCCAAGAAATGCAGAGGGCAGGCTCAGACTCACAGTTGTATATTTAATTAATGCTTGAGATGCTGTTCCTACATCAGGTGTAGACTTTGAGGACAGTTTGTCTCAGACATTGGTAAGGTCACCTATATCCAGCTATGGCTCCAAGATTAAGTGTAGGCCTTAGTAAACTCAATCTAAGACAATCACAGACCTTATGTGGAATTGTACCAACAGATATTTTCTGTTTGGTCATCACAATGTCTACTTTTATTTTAAATGTGAGTGGATTTAGGTAGGTCACAAGCTCTCAAATTTATCATTGACTCCTTTCTTCACTGTCTTATATCCAGTCTCTTCATATTTATCAGCCATTGAAGGCATTTAATCTCACATAAGAGAAAGAAAAGCCCAGAATCACAAGCATTCTGGTATCTTAGGCCCTCAATTTCAGAAGAACTATCAATTTTTATTCAGCCTCAACTTTGAAAATTGGAAATAAATAAAAAGTATAATTCTGGTGCATGTTGTAGAAGGACATGTGGTTCTCAGAGAGAGAACAGAAAATTAGATCTAGCAAACACCTTTGACTTGAAACAAAGTAACGACAGATAAATGAGCCAATTTGCATAGACCAGCAATGATCACATTGGTCTTCAGGTTAACATAAAAGAGGATGTGCTAGAGGTAAGAGCTATAGTCATCAGAGTAGGTCAGGCAGAAAAGTGGAGAAAAGAGGGCTCTAACCTATTCATATTGATTTTCCACATTTCAAAATATATATTATAGTCAGAACATTAGATGAAGTAAAATAAATTCTTATGCTTAATCCAGCATCTATCTAGGATCATAATGGAGTTACATGGTTCAATTATGTCTACATCCTCCCATTGTTCCTTGACATATATCTGCATCATTCTGAGTTGAACACTCCTTGATTGGTAGGTCCAGAAAGCTTTAAGATCACCAGGAATAAAAGCAGCTGGAACTAGAAAAAAATTAGTGCTTTGTTCTTTTCAGGATGCATGGCATTGAGAACTCTGTCCTTAGAAGGGCTAAATTTAGGTAAAAGGCAAATTTACCTAAGAAAATATAGGTGAAAAATTAAATAAAATGTATTATCTTCCTCCTGCTTTTCATTCTCCAATTCAAATTGCTGCCCCAGCCCCTCCTTCTCCATTTCTTCCCTTCTTTTTTCCTCTTTTTATTGTTAATATGACAATTTTAATGTAAAAAGCTATGAATTATAGGGAATTTATATTCCCTATAAAAGGAGTTGCTCTTGGGGTGCCTGGGTAGCTGAGTTGGTTAAGTGTCCAACTCTTGATCTCAGCTCAGGTCTTGATCGCAGGGTCATGAGCTCAAGCTCCACAGCCCAACTTAAAAAAAATAAAAGGAGTTTCTCTCAGTGGCCCTCTCTGAGACCACTTCTATGTGCTTGATATGCTTGTAGAAATTTCCCTATTGTCCTGGATCTGACTCCATCCTTTCTAAAACATTTAGCCCATGAAAACCCTTTTCTGAACCATTTCCCTTCTCTACCTGAGGTTAAAAAAGGTAAAGAAATAGAAGTTGGTAAGTATGCCACCAACTGATTTATAGAATTAAATGGAGAGTAGATCTTGTACCAGAAAAGAACAAGGGGACTTTTCAACAGGAGAGATGGCTCAAAGCTCACTCAGAGGCAACCAATCTCCTGTAAGTCTACAAGCTCTCCAGGCCAGAACATCAGGGTTTGAGTTTATGTAGTGAATCAGCTTCTTATAGTGAACCACTTCAAATCCTTTGACCTCATTGTCCTGTCACTGTTGCAACAACTGGGCTCATCAATCATTGGCTGGCTTCATACAGGGAGAACATGATAATCCCTTGCCTTAGGCCTGCACTGTGCACCTCTTTATTCTTGTCCCAGGACTGACACCAAGTCATGACACATTCTCAGATACTCACTTGGTGTTCATACATGTGAGAAAGTATGATGGAATTAACAGCTCATAGGATAAACTTTGACCAATGGTAAATGTGATCCAATGGATAAATGTTCCCCTCCTTATTTTCCTGGATTGACTGTCATGAGACATATTTGATAAGGCTTCAGAGATGGGTCTGCAGGAATGGTCAATAGTCGTCCATAATGATGTCTGGCTCATTCTTGATTTACCATCTCTCAGCTCCAAAGTGACTTTTGCCTACTCTATGATGATGGTGTTGGACTCTGTAAATATTTCTCTTCTGTCAGCTGGCACATTATTAAGACTGGTTAGTGGAAAGTAGCGGAGGAACACTGTAGGGAGAAGGGGTTTTCTCTTCTTGGTTTCTGTGTAGCTTGTTGGCTGGATTCCCACAGAACATGTTGTTTTTCCATTGCTTGGCACTGTGTGATTGCTTCAGTGCTTGGTTCCAGTGGTGCACAGTTTCTTCGAGGATTAGCTACTGAGCTTGTTCTCCAGCTATTCACTGGGAGAACAGTGACATAACCAGAGGCCCAGACAGTATGGAGCAGCACTCTAGCTGAAGGAGAATCTCCTACATCTTCTCCTTAGCCCTGGGTATGTGTATATAAATTAGGGCAACATAGGGCTATCTAGTTAGCAAGCTGGCCACCCAACCCT